TATCATGAATTAATCAGGATCAAGCAGTAAAATTAGCTCTTTACAGGACTTTTCATGTAAAATGGAGCTAGTTTATGTTCACTAAAGACAGTTGGGTGAGGGATTGTACTATCTCTCTTATCTACCCTCCCCCCTTTTTTAATAGGAATTTTGTTTTTCAAAGAAGTGTTTTATAGTTTTCAGTGCATAATACTTCCAGGTAAAATTTAACTTACTTAGATGCTTTTTTTAAGACAGGGTTTCACTAGCCCTGGCTGACCTGGAACTTGCTATGTAGGCCAGGCTGGCCTGGAACTCACAGATCTACCTGCTTCTATCTTCCAGAGTGCTGGGATTAAAGGTATGTGTTACAACACCTGGCTATTTTGGATATGTGTTTAAATTTCAGCTTCTTTTTCTTTTTTTTTTTTTTTTCAGACATGATAGCCCAGGCTGCCCTTGAACTTGGGGAAAGTTCTTAGTGCTAGGATTACAAACTTGAGTCACCATGTCTGGCTAAATTTAAGTATGCAAGTGATCTTTGCTAATATACAGAAGTATAATTAAACCTTTAATTATACTGCAGTTGTTAAATCTGCGTTTCTTTTTAAAAAATTCTTTAGATCATATTTTCTGCAAATAAAGATGATTTTATCTCCTTAAAAATAATAATAATAAATAAATGAAGAACTATACGCCTTAATTCTGGGGGCTGTTAAGTCTCAAAGAGCAATATAGACCTACTCTTTGTATTGGAGAATTTATGAAATTTGGCAACATAAGAAAAACTATCAATGTTTCATTAAACTAAAAATGAGTAAATAAGCACATGATAGGCTACAAATTAATAATTCATCATGTAGTTGAGGAATTAAATAGCAATTGTGTTAGGAATCAAATGAGAGAAGTGGGAACAGAGTAGTTCATTTGTGAGTTGGTATGAACAATAACCTGTGCCGGAGAAAGGATAGTTTCACCAGTAAATCGTGCTGATGAAAATTGAAACCACCTTTCACCAGTTATAAAAATCAACTCTACATAGCTCAGAGACTGGTTTTCTATATATAAAACCTGAAAGCCAGGCGTGATGGCGCACACCTTTAATCTCAGCACTCAGGAGGCAGAGGCAGGCAAATCTCTGTGAGCTCCAGGCCTCCTGGTCGACATAGCAAGTTCTAGGCCAGCTGGGGCTACAGGGAGACCTGTCTCAAAAAGACAAAAAAATAAAATAAAATAAAAACAAAATAAAAAAAGACCTGAAACCATAAAACTACTAGAAGAAAATACACACGAAAAAATACTTCATAACAATAGGACAAGTGAAGATTTGTAGTCTCCAAAACACAGGAAAACAAGCAAAAATAGAAAAACGGTATTATAAAAAATGAAGTTTTACACAGCAAAGGAAACAGTAAAGATACAGCCTACAGAATAGCAATATCCATCTGACAAGATATTGATAACTACAATATATCAAGAACTTACAAAGATCAGCAAAAATGCAATTTTAAAATGGACATATGGTCTAAACAGGCATTTCTGAAAAGACATGCAAATGGTGAACATGTTTACGAAAAATGCTCATATCAGCCACCATCAGAGAAGCACAAGTCAAAGCACAATGACATATCATCTCATCACAGTTAGAATGACTATTACCAAAAAAATAAGCATTGAAAATCCTAGTAAGGTTGAGAAGAGAAAGGAACTCTCATGCACTGTGGATGGAAATATAAATCAGGGCTTCCAGTATAGAAAATACTATGGGGAGTCCTCTAAAAATTCAGAATAGAAGTGCCTTATGACCCAGCAATAACACTGTACATACATCAAAAAATATTACAACATGATATCAAGGAGATACTGTCACTCTCATATCCATACCTATACTATATGGGATTAATGAGGCACCCATCAATGGATAAATGAATAAAGAAAAGGTGATATCTAAATGAATATTATCTGAAAAACTGAACTAGAGAACATCACTTTGCATGAAATAAATTAGGCACAAAGAGACAAATAATGCATGGTTTCACCCATTTTTAGAAGCTAAAAAATTCAGATCCTAACAGAACACACTGGCTAGTGGTCACTGAAGGTCAGAAAGGAGAAAGAAGAAAGAGAAAGAGGTTCACTATCAGGCACCAACACATTTAAACAAAAATTAATTATGGTATTCTACAGCACCATAGGTAAGTACAGTTATAATTTATGATATATTACAAAATAACTCAAAGAGCTATATAATGGAGACTTCTGGTTTGCCATTTTAAAACCCAAAATAATATTCAATACTTTTTTTAAAAAATTACACAAATGGGGGCTGAAGAGATAGCTCAGCTGTTAAGAGCACTGACTGCTCTTGCAGAAGCCCCGGGTTTGAATCCCAGCACCCACATGGTGCCTAATAATGGTCCAATATCAGGGTATCCAAGCCCTCTTCTTGCTGGAGCCAGCCAGCCAAGATAAACAGCACCTGAAATGGGGAGTGAGGATGAAAGAAAAACAAGAGACAGAGAAAGATCCTTGGGAGGACTGTCAGTAGAGACTGCAGCCCTGGTTTATTTTAGCTCAGCCTTCTTACACAGCAGAACATCAGATAGCCACAGTTTGCTTAGCTCAATTTTCCCACCTCTATCTGAGGGTCAAGGAATGGTCAAATACTTGTTATGAATACAATCATTTAACTATCCTCCCTAAATTATCAACACATTCTTCCTGACTTGGCAGAATAATTCGGTACTTGTGTGCAAAACACACAAACTTGAGTCAAGGCAAAAGATCATAAAGTAAACAAGCAAGCCTGCCACAGCTCAGTGTACAAAATGGCTGTGCTTATTCTAATAACTCCCAACATCTCCCCATTTTTATTTTTTATAACCCCAGATCATACTATATCCAGGACAGAAGGACTATGCCTGTCTTAGTTTGTCTTCTGCTACAGCAAAGCCTTACCTGTCATCAGCACTTAGCTTCCATCAGCTACGCCCTGTCTTACGTTGACTTTCTCCCAGAAGATCTTACCTGTCTTTGACTACCGGCCTCTGTTAGGGGAGGGAGCACAATCTCATATGATGCACATTAGCCTTGAATTGACACAGGATTTCATAAATAACTTTACTGCCACCAGAAGAAAACAAAGACATAGGAGGAAAAGCATGCCAAGTCCCACTAAACCACTCACAATGGAAGTGATAGAGGACACGATGGGAAGGTGGCTCTCAGCCTTTTTAGAATACCTATCATTGCTTTCGCTGCATCAAAGTCAAGAGGTTTAGCATTCCTGAGATTCAAAATTTCCTGATGTAACATGATCAAATCTAAAGATACATTTTCATGATGCCATATTCCATGCAGGTGCACCTTGATTTTGTCCCATTCATATACACTACTATTATATATTTTTGAGGTTACACAGATCCACTCGTAATTTGCATGACAGGACAAATGAGTTCTTATTTTTAATCCCTGAATTTCATCCCCTAAATACTGGACAATTTCATATAGGGCATTTAGCTTATGTTATAACCTATTATCTATATCTTTTTGTGTTCCTAATGCTAAAGTAACATTTTCAGATAACTGATTAACATAGGTAGCAGTCTACACCCCTTTGAGAGAGCCACTGCAGCAGTTGTAATAGAGGCCAAAAAGGTAATTAAAGCAGTAATCCCTGCAATGGTCAGTCCCACAGCTCTCCATGATCTTTCTAAGGCCTTCTCCATTTCTGGTAGCACTTGCAACCCTTTTTCACTATGCCAAGGACCTGATATATTAATAGGAATCATAACAAAAGAGGGTTGTCTAAGAATCATAACTTGAGTTACATTAGGCAATACAGAAATACAATTAGTAAGGTGACACCCAACACAGCTAATATTAAACACCCTATCAATATTATTAATACTAATGTTAATATCCCCTATCAGTAGTACAAAGGGCAAACTAACACAGGCCATAATTGAGCCTTTCAAAGGGCACCCGGACCTTGTCCTTCCTTGTCTTTGAATTAGAAAAATCAGATAATCTTTCTGTGCAATTACACCCAGATCCCTGGCCCTCTATGTGACCCATGGCAGTGGCTAATTTCCAAATGTATGTTTGCTGGTACTCCAAATCAGACCACCACAATCCTGCTGCCAAACCCTTACTCCAATCCTCTTCCTCTGTCTAAGGGCTCTCCACTGTACCTCCCTGCTGATTCCCAGACCAATCCAAAATAAACCTATCACTACCAGTTACATTGTGTCTCAAAGGTGTCTTTCCCAGGCACTGCCTCCATAATTAGGTTTTATGCTGATCTTATACTCATGTCCACAGGGTGGAAATGCTTGCAGAGAAATTTTTCCCTCTATTACCTCTTGGTAATAACACTTTGGCATTGGTACAGCATCCACCTCATCCCACAAGCACATGGTCATCTACTTGTACACACCCAGGCTTATTATCATTTTTAAAAAAAACAAATAGGCAACCTGATTCCTGATCCTGAATAATTAAAATTCGTCGCCACTTGCATCATCAGGTGTTTTGAAGCGAGCTGAGTGATTAACCGAGTCACTACTATCTCTTTTTCTTCCCATATTGTGGGGTGCAATATTGGTGGATCAGGAACATAAGCCCAGTATAACTCAGCCAAGATCACTTGTGGGAACATCATCATCAGCCACGTTTGTCACCTCATCATTCTTTTTCACTTTTTCTGGCACTC